GTTTGATACATTCCACATAGCGGGATACATAGCGTTGTGCACGGGATACATTAGGTTTGATACATTCCACATAGCGGGATACATAGCGTTGTGCACGGGATACATAGCGTTTGATACATTCCACATAGCGGGATACATAGCGTTGTGCACGGGATACATAGCGTTTGATACATTCCACATAGCGGGATACATAGCGTTGTGCACGGGATACATAGCGTTTGATACATTCCACATAGCGGGATACATAGCGTTGTGCACGGGATACATAGCGTTTGATACATTCCACATAGCGGGATACATAGCGTTGTGCACGGGATACATAGCGTTTGATACATTCCACATAGCGGGATACATAGTGTTGTGCACGGGATACATGCGGGATACATAGGTAAATAAGGAATTTTTGAAAATTTTGAAATAAGTAGGGATAAATGGATATTAAGGTAAGTAAAGAAGTGTAGTTAAGTAATTTGTCCTTTTTTTAATTACATTTCAACTTTTCTTTCTTTATACTGCTTTGGACCGTCTTTTTCTTGAGTTATTTATCGAAAATAGTTTTTTTACCTCTAAGATAATGATAAGAGTTGTACACACTTTATCCTTCCACACCCTACTTTGTAGAATTACATTGGATACAATGTCATTGTTGTTGTTATAAATATTTTTTATTCTTAAAAATATTACTCTATATAAACTTAATTTGATATGATTTGATATTTTAATATTTAGTTACAAAATTTTACAAAATAATAAATTGATAACTATAAGTTGTTCGACTTTAACTTACATATACTGAAATTACTCTCCTCCTCTTGGCCTTGCTTTAACTCCTGCCTCATATGAAATAGTTCATTATGGCAGGAAGTGTACTAAAAGTTGTCTAAGCATTGTAAGGCTTAATTTTTATCATATTAACATCAAATATCATAAGAAAGTATAAGTAATTTAATTCCTCATTATCTAAATAATTAATTTTATATTATTGCTTAATTTATATATTTGTTAGCATTATGACAATACATATGAACTTAATCGACTTATATTTGTTATTTTGATTAAAATAAGTGTTTATAAATGTTTATTTTATTTTACTCAAACAGTCTATTAATAACTATATGGAGTAATCACCATGGGTACTGATTGGGATGGTTTCAGAATTGTTTTATTCTTAATTAAAAAAATTGAATTTAAATTTGTGGGAATAAAATGTCTTGTCTAAAGTGTTACCTTTAAAAATAAGTTATGTAATACATAAATCTATATTTAATCAAATTTTAATATAAATATTGCATGCCCGAAAATAAAATAAAAAGTATGGAGTACTTGTGAGCACTGAATTGTGTCTTGAAGTCTCTGTAAATAAAGCTGCACTCATTTATGATTCCATGCACAGTTATTTCATTTCTAAACCAAACTAAAATTTAATGTTGCTACCTAATATGATCAAGCGTCTTATTACTGCTAGTTCTTTTGTTTATATATCTATGATTAAGGGCGGACATAAGTCATCGAAAATTGAATTAAAATTTATCGATTTGAAGTTTGATTACATATAAGAGATGATTTATTTTTAGTATTGCTTATCGAATTGTCGAATTGAATTTTGAAAATATTGAATCGTATTGATCCTAATATCTACCCTTAGGGGTCGTTTGGTTGGGAACAAGTTATCCTGGGGTTAGCTATCCTGGGATAACTTATCCCATCACTATGATATAAATGGTGGGATAAGTTATCCCAAACATGACAACCAAACAAGATAACAAAAATTTGATCCCATCACTTATTTTATTTTTATCCCTCACACCAAACGACCCCTTAATAAATTATTTATCATAAATATGGATAATATTAACGAGTGATTTGCATATCTTAATTGATTTATGTCAATAAATTCATAATATTAGGATTTGAGAATGGAGATCTAATATTTTTACGTGATTTATCTAAAAACTAGCATGTCAAATGTTAGATAAATTATGAACGTATTTTGTCAATATATAAAATTTTCAAAGTTCAATATTTGATATATATCCCTATTTTCTTGTGTCGATTACCAAATTATAAAAATCAAAATTTGAAAATATCGAACGTCCACCTTTATAGAAATCAGAATCTTTCTTCTAAATTTTGCTTCATTAATAATATTTTGTTTTAGTTTCGTCTTGCTTAACTCTTGTCAATTTCCTAATCTTGGATAATTCTGTTGCAACAATGAAAAGGTTCTCCAAATATCATTCTGTCCAAACAAATCTTATTAAAATGATTTTAAGTTCTATGTATGTATTAGTATAATATTTACGTCTCAATTACAATTAATATATAATTACAATTAAAACATGTTACTACATTTTAAAATATTGCAAAATTTCACTACTAAATTTTCTCTTTTAAAAAGTGTTGAAGTGGATTTTGGGCTCAATGGGCCAACAAATTCTCAGCACAGTCCACTAAGCTAGTGTTGGCTTGATTCATGAAAAAACTATCAAATAGACGAACATTTATATCATATTTACTAATTCTTTGTGTAATTGAAATAATTACATATTGTCTTCTCATTAATTAATTATTTTATATCAAATTTCAAATCAGATATACCTAGATACATGTATTTTTACTACCAGACACACAAAAATATAGAGAGGTGAGCGAGAGAAGGAGGGAGGAGAGAGAGAAAGGAAAGAGGTGAGCGAGATCCCCATACACATGTGAATTTTCCTCAAATACATGTGAATCACACTAAATATGTGTATCTGAAATACCAATTATGGAAAGAGAGGCGAGCGAGAGAAGAGAGTGAAAAGCGATATAGGAGATATACGAGCAAGAGAGTCAGATACAGGGTATTCCACTTGGATATTGTGTATTTTGAACAAATTATACCTAATTTTAACCTCGTGTATCCGAGATAAATGTATCTAGACGTATTTGGGCGCGCTAGATATATGTATTCGAAATCTAAAATTTGATAAGATTTGTAATATTACAAACTAGTATGAAATTAAGTAATTAACTTCTAAATTAATGAGATTTCTCTAAGTTACCCTTATTTATTAGTCAGTGTTGATTAAGCCATCATTTGGGCCTACTTTAAACTGAATGACTGGTTGTGATAATTATGGATCATTTACACAAATATCCTTATTTTGGATTGGTCTTTAATTTTTTGCCTTTCAAATTGATGATTTTTAATTTTTATCACTTAAAATTTTAAATATAAAAAAAAAATGACTGAAAATATCCCCGACAACGCAAAAAACAAAATAAAAAATTGCAAGGCAAAACAAAATTCACAAGACATTAATTTAGTGACACAAGTTATGCCTTGGGGCATAGGTTTAGTGACACAATTTATGTCCAAAGTATAAGTTCAGTGACACAAATTATGCCTCCCACGGAAGAATTAAGCCCAAGCCACAAGTTATACTTCAAAATATGGGTCCGTTTGGCCATATATTTCCCAAATAATATTTGGGGGAAAATTTGGCAAATAGTGTTTGTCCATACAATTTGTCATTATTTGGCAAATATCCCAAAATCCCAAATACTAGTTTTTTCTAGTATTTGGGCCAAATCTCATTATTTAGGATCTTTTGAAAATTGAATTTTTACACCAAACTTTTATCTTTTACAAAAACACCCTCCATAGTAGTTGTTTGCATTGTATTACATTATTTTTTACGTGAACACCAAAGTAGTGATGAAATATTCAGTGAATATGAAAGTGATGATATGGTGATTGATGAAAATGATGAACAATCGACTCAAGGTAACAAAGTCATGTGTTTTGTCTACTTCACGATGTATGGAATGATGCTTGTTGCA